TTTAACAATTAATGAATTCATTTTTTAAGTATATGATTTTTCAATTTTTTGTGAGTTTTTTTTAAGTGAGATACAAAATAATCACCAATAGTTGATAAGTTTTTCAATGAAAAAATTGTTCATCTTTGAAGCGAAGAGTCTTCCCTGCGGAGAAATTTTACGGACAATTTGGTTAGATTTTCATATTCAATCTCTATTAAATTCAAAAATAAACGATTACCATCGATTAAATAGTATTAAAGTTTAGATTTTGCCAAATCAAAAAAATCCATTTCAATCAAGTATAATCAAGTATAGTGGGTTGAAAACGTGTATTAAACTAAAATCAGCTTTAAAATTTTGATTATACTACACTGTGTTTAAAAGTGTCAAAAAGTAATTGTAAAAAACCTGTTTCATCAGATAAAGTGAGATTCTCATAAAATTTTTCTTTTATCACTTTTTGCTGAATTCTTTTTTTACCTCCTCGTCCCACTTACGTCTTTTGCAGTCCCAGCATAAAAATGGCAACCCCCCCCCCCCCCCCCCCACTTGGTTCACACACCTCCCGCCCCGTTTACACCCTCCCCCACCACCCCCACCCCACCAACAAGCACACACAGGTTTACACACACACATTTACGGGGGGTTTTTAGTGTGAATGGTGATCGCAGGGGATTGTGAGGAGGGGTAGATGTACACGCTTTGAATAGAAAAATGATAAAATTTAGATTTCGAGTAGGTCGTGAGTATAGCAGAAGTTGTTGAAAGTTCTGCACAAAGAAAAAATTCAGCGAAAAATAACGTCTAACGATTCTGATTGGTTGAAAAACTTATATATTTTGGTCCCTTCATAGTGAGAATACCCCCACCTGGTTTTATAAAAACGCTTTGAGTGTTAATACTTACTAATTTTGAGGGGAAATTGCATGCTCAATGTTCAAAAAAAAACCTTCCATCCGAAAATTGTTAAAATTTTGTAACAGAGGTCGACAAAGTTCCTGCCGTTGTTACCAACATCAAAGGTACAAATCCGTTTCAGGTTTCTCCGTGGGATTAGCAGCTGATGGCAATTTTTGCGAGCAATTGTGTCTCGGTAAAGTGATTTTAGCTATAGAAGACAAATAGGCAATTTTCATCAATTTTTCAATCGAAAAACAAAAAGACGAGCCATATGAAAAATAAATTATATTTTGCGTAATTAATTTAATTATCATATGGCAATTTATTATATGGCAACTTCGAAATTTACAGTTGAGCTATTTATTTGGGCCGAGGAAAGGTTTTACTATGATTGTCAGAATAGGATTTTAGAAATTTTGATTTGAAATTATTTTGGCCGAAAAAAAGGTCGACGGTGTTTTTTTACACATTTTTTTTACACATTTCTTCAACCCTTCCTTGAGAGCTTCTCAGATCCTCGCCTGCGAAAGGGCGAGGGAGATTGGTTCGGCAACTTCAAAATTCAATAAGAGATTAGTTTATGGGCAGTTAATTTTCCGATGATTGTGATGTTGGACTGGAGACTTCATGATTAATCTGAAGCGTTATCAGAACTATTTCCGCCACATATATTGATCTGACAAAAAATAGACGACTATCATAAAATATAACTCACCTAGTATGGTTTTTGAGGTATGATTTTTCTCATTTTTGATAACCCAAGGAAAACTCCTAGAGATTCAAGTGTGGTTGCATATCAAAGGCCTACTGGTCGCGAGTCAAACATTTTTTTAAATAAAAATTGCCTGTGTCAAGAAAAGATGGTCTGTATATTTTCGCACATTCAGGCTAAATTAGACAACTGGATAAAAAGCTGGCCACTAAATTCATGTTCAATTTTACGTTATTTGGCATAACAGGAATATTTAACTGGCATAACAAGAAATTTAAACAAGAATAAAAAATTAAAATTAAAAATGGAACGTTTTTTTTTTCGGTTTCTGAAGTTTGTCGTTTTTGAGATTCTTTCCCTAAATCAGCATGGTCGGATTGCACAGCAAACGGTAATCTTTGTTTCAAAATAAGAAACGGATAATTGAAGACTTTTGAGTTTTCTTCAGCAAATCATTCATATAGCTTAAAACAACCAAAGAAAAGTCATTTACAGTTTGCATATACATTTACATTAACACTAGATCCTCTTCGCTCCGTAATAATCATAGCTTTTTTTCTCAGAATCGTCATAGGTAGTAGTGCAAAATTTGCAACAAACAGATAATATTTCTCCTAAGTTATGCTAAGCGAACTTCGTCCTCGTCGAGTTGAATGCAAATTGTGCCATTACTCTCGTTTTTATTTCGAATATGAAAGCAAATTTTGTTTTCTAGATTTTAACATTCACTTATTCACTTGTGTATTCCTGACACAAAAATAATTGTTGACCTTTTGTCCCTTTTTAGGCCAACAAAATAAGCTTTACGAGCTCCTCCATTACCTAATAAAGACCATTTTATTGACCAAAACACAGTAAAAGTATTAAAGACCACAATAAAGACCATTAGCCGGGTCAACATATGTTGGACCGAAATTGGTGGAACACGCGGATGTTGCTTGACTCAAAATCCGTGGCCGAAAACAGACTTTCTAGTTAAACACAAAATTAAAACATAGTCGAAAAGAGATCCAAACATAGTGGAACACATTTCGAATCCTAGTCGATCAATATGCCAAACACAAAGTGTAGTCGAAATATAGTCGAACTTAAAGTGTGGTCGAAACTTAATTGAAATCAAAATCGAAACATTGCAGAGGGGTATAGGACAACAAGCCGACGGGACTTCAAGCCGAATGGACTTCAGCCCGAAAATTAAACTTTACAAGCACCTCAAATCAATATTTTTTCATCTGTAAAAGGTTGCTCTTCGAAATCATACGCTAGTTTAGTCCATAATAAGCGTTATTTATGACAATGAATCGTTTAGGATTGACATCCGTCAATAATATCAACCGGTTTTTGAAATGCATAAATTATAAACAAAAAATTTGCCTTCAACCGTGTTTTATTTTTTAACTTTCCTAAACATCATGTGGAGTTTTAAATTTTATGAAAACGCTAATAAATACCGACTAAAGATCATGAAAATGATAAAATCTTCAGAAAAGTGTTCAAATTAATCTTATTTCATGACTTAATGAGAAAATTTTCAGCTTGAAGTCCCTAATTTTACGATTCGGCTTGAAGTCCCTTCGGCTTGATGTCCGGCACCCATTGTAGAGCTCAAAATAGAAGCATAAACGAAAGTTTTATCAAAACATAGTCGATCACAATTTCAAAACATATTCGAACACGAGATCGAAACATAGTCGAAAACTATATCGAAACCTCTTCTCGAACACAAGCTCAAAAAAGAATCAAACACTATGTAAAATAGCTGAAAGAAATCTGGAATTCAAATTTGCATCAGATTTTTTGCTTACAAATGAGGGGTGCCGGACATCAAGCCGACGGGACTTCAAGCTGAATCGTAAAATTAGGGACTTCAAGCCTAAAATTTTCTCATTAAGTCATGAAATAAGATTAATTTGAACACTTCTCTGAAGATTTTATCATTTTCATGATTTTTAGTCGGTATTTATTAGCGTTTTTATAAAACTTAAACCTTCAAATGATGTTTAGGAAAGTTGAAAAATAAAACCCGGTTGAAGGCAAATTTCTTGTTTATAATTTATGCATTTCAAAAACCGGTTGATATTATTAACGGATGTCAATCCTAAGTGATTCATTGTCATAAATAACGCTTATTATGGACTAAACTGGCGTATGATTTTGAAAAGCAATGTTTTAAAGATGAAAAAATATTGATTTGAGGTGCTTGTAAAGTTTAATTTTCGGCCTGAAGTCCCTTCGGCTTGAAGTCCCGTCGGCGTGTTGTCCTAGACCCACAAATGAGTAACACAGATGCAAATAGCAAAAATTCTAGCTAAACGAAGCTTTATTTTATTGCGGCCGAGGGCTTCGAGAGTAACTCGAGAACATATCTTGTAACTGCGGAAACATAAGCATTTTATATCAAACACCGTCAAACACGCTTTTGGATTCTGTCAAGTCCGTTGAGAAAAAAACACGCTTGAGACGAACACGTACAGGCACATTTTTTCGTAGGTCGAGTCGATCGAAACGTAGCACGCTTGGGTCAATCAAGTCGATCACATTTTTTTTGCATTACGTGGCCAAACTGTGCATTTTGTGCATTGTAAGCGGATTCCGCAACAAGGACGCTCCCTTTGTTCTTCTTTTGTTCTTTCCTTCTCTTTGATCGTTCCGACAAAATTTTAACATGTTTAAAGACTTGCCTCTGGAATGCAGGAACATACAGACACAAACTTGTGCCCCTATCCAGTGCACAGTTGGCCTCGTAATGTTGGTCGATTCGGTCAAACCAAAACTAGTTTGGGTCTATTCTGTCAAAAAATAGAACGCTTGGAACGAACACAGTCCATAACACATTTTTTCTTCGGTCGAGTCGAACGAAAAATAGCCACTGTTGGTCTAGTCGATCGAAACATAGCTACTTTTGCACCCGAATCTACGTTATTCACTTTTTTTGGTAAACTTATGAACAACAGGCCAAAAACAACACTTTTAGGCATCACCAGGACAATTTTAAGGTCAATTTTCATTCAAAAACAGTGTCATAGAATAGTTGCAAGGGAGGAATCCTGTGGGTGGTTAAGGATCAAAACTCGTGATCCAAGGCTACTTACTCTACATTGACTTTTTTCATAAATAATCAATTGGAAATTAGAAAGTAAAAGCAATAAACAAAATTCAAAACCTTGAAAATCTCAAAACTTATTACTTAAAGCATAAAACTATTCAGTATTTGTTGTACCGTATAAATATAGTTCTTGTAACATGGTTATTTGCATTACACGCCATCAATATTTTTACTTTTTTGAAGCAGTTTTATTCGAAAAGTTTTGATTTTTTCGGAAAATGGAGCTCTTCAACCATTTCTCCCTCTTTTTTTTCTCCCTCCTATAAAAGACTAAATCAATTGCTAAAAATATGCGTATAAATGTCATCGTAACAGATATCTCTTGCATTGGTTGGAATGGATAACAACATTCAAAGTCCCTTCAGTCGATACCAATGATACTTAAAAAGGCTCTAAAAACTGAACGCTGAACCATTTTTTAACGTAGTACCGATGCATTTCTTTTCAGTCATTTTAATGCGTCATTACTTGTCAGTCATTTTATGAGTCAATTTTTATCAGTCATTATATGGGTCATTTCTTATCAATCATTTTTATGCAGGGGCGGATCTAGGATTTTCTCGAGGGGGGGGGGCGTATTTTCAAAAAAATTTCGAAAATTTTGTCGACCTTTTTTTTAGGTCGACTAAATTAATTTTCCGAGCTCTCCTAAAACACTAAAAAAAGGTGTCTTTAGAAAAAATTGATTTCTTAAAAAGTACCAAAGGGTTTGGGTCGATAAGAGTTCAAATTCCTGAGGGGGGCGTCCACCAGCCCCCCTCCCCCTTAAATCCGCCACTGTTTTTATGCGTCTTTTTTATCAGTAATTTTTATTAGTCATTTCTTATAAAGCATTTTTGTCAGTCGTTTCTTAAAGTTCATTTTTGCCAGTCGTTTCTTATCTGTCAGTTCTGATAGAATTTGTTTCTTTTTAGAAGTGAGAAACTTCAGACGCCACAGAACCTGTTGCTGTTGAACTTGGCCGTGGTCGACACTATCATGATGTTGTCTTGTCAGCCCATATTTCTCTTCTCTAGCTTGGTTGGGGGATGGAAGTTCGGCACCGCAGGTGAGCGAGCATAGGGGGGCGGCAGTGCAGTTGCGGCTGCCAGGGGTTTGGGTTTCTGTAAGCAGGGATAGTTCGAAGAAATACCGAGCTTATTCCGAGTAAGAAAACCGAAACCCCATAATTGGAACAAAAATTGGATTCAGCAGCTTGAAACATGCCAATATTCTGTTCGGCAAAGCCGAATAACCAACATGAACAGCTTATAGTGTTTATTTTTCAGTCTCTTTGAGTTCATTGACGCTATGCAAGTCCCCGTTGACTATATATATTTTTTTATAATTGTGTGGTTTTGTTAGAACTTGGCCATACAAAATTTTCAACTACTGACCTGATGCTAGTTCGTTATGTTTTTTTGTTTTCTTCAACATAAAAATGCAAGCAAATAATTAGTTGTCAATAAACGATGTGAAAACATCTATTCAAGTCGTATAGCTCTTGATCTTGTTTTTTTTATTTCAGGAAAAAATCTTGAAGAATGTTTAATTTTGCGGTTTGACCTGAAAATTGTTTTCATATTCTTTTCAAAAAATAATTTGCTACAAGGAAAGTAAATTCTGCTCGAACAAAACAAACGCGTAAATGGTGGAAAGGTTTGAATCTTTTTTCCGCTTCAAGAATGAATTTTTGTTTTTGTTTACTTTTCGAGAAGATTTTAAGAATTTACCCCTTGATCAAGTTTTCTCAAGGTTGTTTATTTTACTGAAAAAAGCAAAAAAAACACTTTCGTTAATAGAAGAGCTTTGAGGTGGTTTGCTGTTTTCAAGTTTGCTCGTAAAAATTTTGTCAAAAGAATCTTTTTGTTCCGACCATTTGAAAAATGAGGAGGAGCTTTGTATTTGGGTGTATTTTAGTTTTTTCTTTTTGTTTTCCACGCAAAATCAGGTACCACAAATAACTATCAGAATGGGTCGAATGATCTATCATATTAAAGCCATTTCAATTGTGATTCGAACAAAGTTTAAACAATTCGAAAAACTTTTTACAGTCGAGAGAGAGCGGATTGAAATTTTTGATTTTTGATCTAATTTCGAACTAATATTTAAGCTAATTTAAGCTTACTTTAAGCAGTGAAAACTTATTTTCACTCAAATAAAAGTAGTTTTTAGAGTTTTTTAGCGCCATTTTGTGCACAAAGATTAAAGATTCCTAAAATTTCTGCAAAATTTAATTTTTTTTCTTTTAAATTTTTTTACAATTTTTTTTTGAATTTTAGTGTTAACTAGAGGTCCAACTAAAGCTGGAGGTACTTGTTTGATAGTTTTTGAAATTGTTGCACTGATGCGGGATGCAAAAGGTAAAATCAAAATTTTAAAAATTGGGTCATTCCGAAATATAGTTTTTGCTCTATTAAAATATGCGTAAAACTTTTGTGATTTTTCGATTTTTCGCAGTGGCATAATTTTTTTTGAACAAGGTTTAGGGCGTAGCATCTTATGCACGGAGGCTTCCCACAACATGTTGCCTGGATTAAACCCTTGATAAATGATTGAGTTGTTTTCGAGATGAATCAGAAAGTTCCAAAAAACACTGACTATTCAGAGGGCCATATTTTTAAAATAAAATGTTTGGACATGGCACTTTCTCAGGGGCACTTTACTCAACCTTTTTTTCGGTGAACCAAAATCTCAGATTTGGAATGTTAGTTTTCAAGACCAGCCAAAACATTGCAAAAAACCGTAAAAATCTAATAGTTTGTTTTTCCGAGGCTGAAAAGTGTTTAGTCAAAAAAATTTGTGCGAAGCTGCTTAAGTAGAGGAGCTTCCCACATACCGTTCTACCAATTGAATTCAAAATCTCTCTTATTTGGGAGGGTAATTTGCGAGAAAAGTTTTGAGACTTTTGCAAGATTCATAACTTTTTGTTTTTGTTCCAAGATTCATAAAAATTTTGGCGTAAGCGCTTATGAAGGTGAGTTTTTCACACATTGTTTTTTCCCTTGAAACCAAAATGTCAAATTTGGGAGGGTTGTTTTCGAGAAAAGTCAAAAAGTTTGAAAAAACAGTAAGAAAACGAAAATATGAATTTTCTGAGTGCCATGCAGGGTAACTTTCTACAAGTTGCTCTGCCCATTAAAATCAAAATGTCACAATGGGTTTGATAGTTTTTTTGAGAAAAAGCAGAATAAGACATAAAACGGTCAAAAGTCCAAAATTTGATTTTTCCAATGGTTAAGTTATAGTGCTAAAAAATTAGGGCGAAACAGTTTACGCAAGGAAGCTTCCCACAATCCGTTTCACCCATTTGGGATGGTAGTTTTCGAGAAAAGACAAAAGTTTGACTTTTCTGAGGGCCATAACCTTTTTTTTGGGTAGAAAACTAGACGTAACCGCCTGATGCAGGGGAACTTTTTACAACTTATTTTTATCCGTTGAAGCCAAAATCTCAGATTTTGATGTGTTTTTCTCAAGAAAACCAAAAAGTTTCAATAAATGCTCAAAAAATCAAATTTTCGAATTTTCCGAGAGTCATAAGTTTTCGTGAAAAAAATTGAGCGTAACCCATTGTGCAGGGGAGTTCGCACAATTTTATAGGGTCATTGGAACCCAAATGTCAAATTCAGCAGAGTGGTTTTTGAGAAAAACTAAAAAGTTTCAAAAAACGGTCAAAAATCTGGGCGTAACAGTTTACAATGGGAATTTACCACAATCCGTTTTACCCATTGGAAACAAAACTTCAGATTTGGGTAGTAGTTTTTGAGAAAAGTCAAAAAATTTCAGAAAATGGTCAAAAAATCAAAAATTTGACTTTTTTGAGGGTGATTACTTCTTGTGATTCAAAATTTTGCGCGTAACCGCTTATCCAGGGGAGCTATCCTCATACTTTTCTATCTATTGAACTCAAAGTCTCAGATGTGGGAAGAAGTTTTCGAGAAAAGTCAAAAAGTTTCAGAAAACGGTCGAAAAATCGAAAGTTTGACTTTTTCGAGGGTCCTAAATTTTTGTGTCAAACAATTTGGGCGTACACCCTTATTCAAAGCAGCTTCTCACAACATGTTCTATTTATTGAACCCCAATTCTCAGGTGTGGTAGGGTAGTTTATGAGAAATATAGAAAAATCCAAAACTATGGGATAAAAATTTTTCTCACACGCTCTTTTTAAGGCTGTAGGAAGAAGGCTAAGGTAGAAAGATCTAGGGAATTATGCCGGCACACAGGGTTGTGGGAGGACTTTCGATTGGTACCGCTTTTTGAAAATCAGTTCGGTAGTTTTGAGCAAGACCCAGTTTTTTGAAAAAAGTGAAATAATTTTCCAAAGCAACTCAAAAAACCCGATCCCGTACATTTTCATGATAGTTGTTTTTTTAAACAAGCATTACAAATTTTATTGAATACAAACGGCATCGGTAAGTAGCGATCACTTGCTCGGCTTCACTGCGCTATGCTTACATTCGATACGAGAGTTATGGTATACGAAAGACAGTGTTTGCGGTTAACCTAGGTTGTTTCAGAAGTCTAAAACCAAAATTTGCTGAATTTGTTGCGTATTGTGGTTGAAAAATCTCGAAAAAGATTTATATAAATCTATGAATACTTCTACTTGCTCTTTGTATACAATACTTTCTGTGCACGTCGTTTCTTTTTGAATGTCATTATTCAGAAATGTGGAAATGTTGAGTAGATCCGAAAAAAGAAGACTGCTCTTATCAGGACAAAGCCTTGAAAATTCCGATTGCCTTTTAAGTTCTAGGAAGCAGTGATCGCTGAAAAAATCATGATGAATTTTTCGAATTATTTGGAATAATTTTGAGGTATTTTTTAAATTCATCCTCCACGCGCCATAAAAAGTACGAAGTGATAGATTTCGCTTCGAGTAATGTATAAAATATGACAAATAGCCTGCTCCAATCAATTTGGAACGATTTGTAAGAGGGAATAAATCTCAGAATTATGCGTTAATAGGGCAAAATATATCGCGCCTGAATTGTCCAAATAGCCATATTTGCAATCTTTGAACCCTCATAATTTTACCAAAAATGATCACAGCTAAAATATATATTTTTAAAATTTGCTCTCAGGGCAACAATAAATTTCGGCTGATATATAAAAACAGTTACGTCAATATTTCCTGGTTGAAATGTCGACAGTTCTCTGGAGAAAAAAACACACTGAGCACAAATTGAAAGTCGGAACAACAATTGAATAAAAATTATATAAATTATTTTTCAAACTTTGCTATTTTTAATTAAATTTTTAATGAGTCAAAGTTTTTAATGATACTCATCATTAAAAAAATGATGGAAAATCAACTCAAATAAAAAGCTTTTTTATAATTAATTTTTTTTTCACCCAATAACTCGCCAATTAGAAAGCACCAAAAATAAAATTGCCAATAAAAAGCTCTAGTGCTACTTTACTGCTTTTATTTAGAGGGGGTGGAAACTCTTTTGCGCATAATGTAAGGGGATTTTTAAGTAGATTTGCTTTTTCGCTAAAAGATGAGAGTGATTCATGATCAACAACCGATGAAAGGGTCTTTTTTTGTATTTTTTATGAGCAAATTTTTTATTAGTTTCATGCCGAATGAGTGTTGGAGCTAAAAAAAAGATATAACGGCAATTTTTTTCGATCTCTCTTTCCTTTCTCATTCTCTCAGTGTAATTTAAGATTAAACACATCTATAAAAAGATATCATAATCCAGAAATTTATAGCTTTAAATCAAGAACATATGTAGAATTTCTGATTGGGGATTAGAAGTTCCGAAATTAAACAGATAAAACTTTCTCGCAATAAAAACAGGCCAAAAAAGGCGTTTTGGGCACTTTTTGGAAAATACTGGCCAAAAAAATGCGTTTTTTTTGCCGAGCGCTTCCCTCAAATGCTGTATACATTGGCGCCAAAGGCGCCTTTAGAACAAAATAAGGGTCCGTATGCCAAAAAATGAGATCTTAAAGTAGAAAAAAGGGTCGGCAGGGGTCGGCAGTGGGTCGAATCCCTGAAAGGTAGCGTCCACCACCGCGCCGCCGCCAGCACCCCCTTCCTCAAATCCGCTGGTGCCCTCT